GGAAAAAAATCCAGATGTTTCAAAAATGAAATCTTCAAAAACCCAGAATTTCACTTAAAATGGAAAAACTGGAAAGGTCACGCCACCAGTTTGGCAGTATATCAGATATCTAAACCAAAAAAACGAATCAATAACTATAAATATCGACTGATATGAAACTTTTATGCTGTGATACTTTTTTTAGCCATATTGTCAAGCCTCTTACTCTTTCGACTCCGACAGAAACGTCTCATAAATTGCCTTCCAGTTTGAAGGGAAGCCATTCACAAACTTCTTCAAGAACTTCTTTGGAAAATCTGAGGGAACGAAGAGAGAGAATCAAGAGAAACTCACTTTCTTTTCTAAAAGACAATTAAAGCGGCCATTACGATTTGGTGTTAATTCCTACCAGAGGCGAGTTTGATGTTCATCGGTCCCATCAGGATGTACACCCTGCCGGAGACGGTCTTCAGCACCGATCTGGAGATCCGCTCAGTGATGACGTTGCTGTTCCACTGAATGTTCTCCTCTCTGGGAGGAAAAGAGAAACAAAATGGAAGCGTTCACTCTAAAATCTCACCGCTAAGGTACGAAACAAGGCTGGGCGATAAAACAACTTTATCGATTTATCAAATTTTTGGTTTTGAAGGTTAAACTTTGAGAAAATCCCAATTTCTTTTCCCCACCAATGCACTCATTGGGTTTCCATAGTACAGCGTAATGTCAGCACGCACAAGGCGGCCATCTTGTTTTACAGCTTCTATTTATTTAGACTTTGAATTGAGGTCAACGCTACAACGAAATACAAGGGAAATACGATTTTATTTTTTTACTCTGAGATTAAAATCACAATATTACAAGAATAAAGTCATATGACAAAAGAATCGAAATGGTATGAGAAGAAAGTCATAATTTTACCAGAAGAAAGTCATAATTTTGCCAGAATAAAGTCATAATTTTACAAATACTTCGACACAAAAAACAGCAAAAGATTAAAATGAGGAATGCTGAGGATCTTGTGGGTTTTGCAAGTTTAACAGATAAGAAAATACTAAATCTTTTAACACATCAGCATCAAAATATCACCAGTAGCAGGATCTTAAAGTGATGGTGCAAATAAACGTATCTATTATGAAGAATAAGAACACAAACTGAGCTGCTCACTCTGTCCAAGCTTTTAAATGGCAAAATTGCATCTTTATTTTCCCAATATTATGAAGTTATTCTCATAATTAAACAAAAATCCTCGTAGCCTGGCCTTAACACGCCATTGTACACCTCACAGAAGGGATGAGTGAAATAAAATCTACTTTTTCAAAATATTTTGTCAGAAAAAAATAGGAGATTTTATTTTTAAGCCGTATCGCCCAGCCCTATTGTGAGCGACGGACACTTACACGTGAATCCCGTCCACAAACAAACCCTGACGATTCCTTCTCAGGAACCACTTCCTGAGGTGAATCACACTCTCCTGTAGAGAAAAATAAAATACACATCTGATGATGACAGGAGCTACGTGATGAACCGAATAGCAAAGAACTGATTTGATATAATATTTGGAAGAATAGAGCATTGAACGTGTGTATCTGCAGTAACTGTGATGCTGTGTTGTCATGTTTTCCTTAAACCCAAATGATGACAAAGTTTTGTAGTATGAATAAAAATGAAATAAATCTGAGTAACAAATTATTAAGTTTTCGTTTCTAGGTCAAGTTTTTCCTTTTTTCTACAGTTTTTCTTTTAATTTCTTCTGTTTTTCTACTTTTAATTCATGCTTTACTTTTTTCCCAGTTACTTGTCCTTCTTTTTATTTCCTTCATGTTTTTATTTGCCTATGTTTTCTTTTTTACTCTACTTTACTGTAATTGCCATCATTTGTTTTGTTTTACTAGTTTCTCTTCTTTTTATTTCCTTGATGTTGTCAAATTACTTTGTCTAGTTTCTTTTTAAAATTTCTCACCCTTTTATGAGCCTTTGAGTTTTTTGCCACTTTTAGTTCCCATTTTATTAAATTTTTATTAAACAATGCGTCATTGATCCCAAAGGGAAACCAAATGTTGTTGTAACCAGGTCACAATAACATATTTTGCTGGACGATAAATTGTCACAGAACTTATTGAAATAAATGATAATAATGTTGTTTTGAGAACATTTTCAAGTGGTATAATAGTAATAATGGCATAAGAATGCAATAACACATTCTCAAAGATAATGAACTTTAAATTCTAATGAACATTTAACACTAGAGCTGGAGGCCATTTGAAATGTTCAAAATAAATAAAACTACACAAGCAACAAATAAAATAAATGGTGAAGTCTCTGTAAACAAAACTGTCTTAAAAAAAGGGATAGTTGAGACCAAAGCACCAAACTGATGATAAGTTATCGAAGAACGAGAGAGAAAAGAGAAAATCGATAAATCAAGAAATGAAAGTTACTGAGTTTCATGCGATTAATTGATTTATTGCTTATTGTTACAGGCCTAATTGTAACTCATTAATTCAAGCTTCTTCAAAGACTTGTTGAGGCCGCTGATGGCAAGAAGGAGCTCCTGTAGCAGTCTGTATTACAGCGTTTTTACAGGAGCCTCTGACGGAAGACTCTGTTTTTCTATGACCTCCTCTCCTTCAGTTATTGAACATTAGTTTGTCTTCTGCTTCTACTTACGAATGGGAATTTCTTCTGCTTGGGCCAAACGTTGCGTCTGAACACCGCCTCGTCTTTCTTCGGTATGGAGATCTGTGGCGTGTTGAGCACCAGCGGGTCCTCCAGTAAAACGGTAGGGGAGGGTGAAGCAGGGATCGGAGTGTCCTGCGAGGTTTCTGACCGACTCTCTGGTGTCTCCGCTTGGTTCTGGTTCACAGCAGTATTCACTGAGGGAACGTCCTGCACGTGCTCCATGTGATGAGTTGATGAGACGTCAGAGTCGCTAAACTCCTGCAAGTTTCCTAACAGAAGAAAATGTCATAAGGGGAAAATAATCTTTTATTTATTTTCAATAACTCAAAGTGAATTTTACATATTGTATGGATTCACTCCACACAGATTGCTGCATTTTTAAGTGTAATTTTGATGATTATGGTTTATGCAGAAAACAAGAATGTTAATTAAAACCAGAGCAGAAACGAATAATTGGATTAATTGTGATCAGTCGATTATCGAATTGTGATCAGTCGATTATCGAAATGATTGTTAACTAATTTTGTAATAGATTAATCATTAACTGGAGCATACAGACTTAAAGATAAACACACTCAGAGCAGTAATTAAGCACAAACTGTACAAACACTATAAATACTGTGTAAATATGTTTTACCAAAAACTCCTCAAGTGATATAGTTTTTGGTTCACCTGGTTCAGATTTACAAACGGAATGCTATATTATTGCATTTTAGGCCGTTAAATGTTAATTTCTTATTTTAAAAAGGGAATTGAATTGTTTATTTACATATTTTAATGTATTTCTATGATTGGATAAAATAGACTGAAGTGGTTAATGAAAAATCTGTAAAATGTTCCAATTTCCTATCCGATTAACCATCAGAATAATAAATTTGAAAAATAATTGTTAGTTGCACCTATAAATAATTTTTTAATTAAATTATTGATATAAATTAAGTTTCACTGATAGTCTGTGGTACGTTATGGCTGTGGCTCAGGACTCGTACGTACTCTGGTTCCCTGCAAAGAGCTCCCTTCTGCTGCAGGTTTCAATCTGCTGATGTTCCCGTTTACTTTCCCTTTCCTTCATCAGAGCAAATAACTTGGCGGGAGACATTGTGGGGCCTGTATCCAGAATAACAGCTGGCCCTGTTCAAAACAAAGAACAACAACATTATTTGTTTTCATCCAAGAAATAATAACAAGCAGAAAATATGGTGTTATTACGCAATTAGTCAAATGACAAATTAAAATAATCTCAAGCTTTTGCTCTTTTCTCTCTTTCTACCAAAGTCTGGATGATAAACGTCTTCACTCTGGCCTGAACTTGGCCTCTTTTGTTTACAGGGACTTCATAATTGATTTTATTAGTTGTTTTTTAAACTTATTTTTGATATTTAAGACCATTTTCAAGTAATATATTAGTAAATAATATAGCATAAGAATGCAAGTTCACTTTGCAAAGACCAAAAAGGTGTACTTCTGTAAGTAACACTTAAAACTGGAAGATATTTCAAATAAAACACAACAAACAAACTTTTCCCTTTCCTTTATCAGGGCAAATAACTTGGCGGGAGACATTGTGGGGCCTGTATCCAATAATAAAACAAAAATAAAAACCACACACCACCAAAACAATAAATAAAATGGATTATGAAGTCTCTGTAAACAGAACTGCTCTTCAAAAAATATTAATTATCAGAATGGAAATTAGTGAGCTTATTTTAATTTATGATGCGATTAATAGGCTGGTCCCAATAAGCAATAAATCAATTAATCGCATGATAAATTAAAACAAACTCAATCATTTCCATTTGCATAATTTATCATTTTTCTCTCTATCAAAAACTGGTCTATAAAAGTCTTCAGTGTGGTGCTTCGATCCCAACTAACTCCTTTTGTTGAAAGACTATATTGTTTATAGAGACTTCATCATTAATTTTATTAGTCGTTTTGTTTATATATTTTGGATATTTAAATTACAGTATTACAGTTCCAGTGTTAAATGTGCGTTAAAAATTAAAGTTTATTGATCTTTGAGAATGTGTTCTTGCATTTTTATGCCTTTATCGTTAAGTTATAGTTATATAGTTATAGTTTGGTAATAGTACCAATACAACAACATTATCGTTTATTGCAATAACTTCTGGGACAATTTATCGTCCAGCAAAATGTGTTATTGTGACAGGCGTGGGGAATAACTCACGTTTGAGTCCATTGGATCCTGATTCTTTTGGTTCTGGGAATCTTTTAAGATTACCCCAAACCAGTCTGCGGGGGTTGCTCTCAACGCTGTCCCCAAAGGCAGCAGGTCTTCTCCTGGCTTGAGGTGGACCTGAGTCCTCGGTGGTTCTGGAGGGATTCTGGGTGTCATTCAGATCCAGTTTCCTCTTCCTCAGTCTGTTCTTTATGGGGGAAAAGACGCAGCATGGAGATTTGGGATTGAGAGAAAGAGCTTCCTTACTGAACGCGCTCCTCCCGCAAATCTCTCCGGGTTGGATCCTACTGAAACCATCTGGGCTCTGATCGCTGAAGACCCCAGACGGGAGTTGGGACACAGATGTGGACTCCATTAGGACTCTGTTTCTCCGTGTGAACCCACGAAATCTGTCTTTAAGTGGGGATACTTGGTGCAGAGGGACGCGGCTAATCGGATAGTCAACGGTTTCCTCCGGGCTGGAGATCGGCGACAGGGTTACCGCCTGCGCTGGAATTTGACAGGACGCAAACCTGTTGTTCTCCTTCATCTTTTCGGACCAGCAGAACCCCGCGGAGTCCCGATTAAATCCCGGTCCATCGGCCCTGCTGACACCTGCTGCTTTGACTCCATGTCCATATTGCTCTCTAACCTTCCGCATCAGCTCCTTGTCGCCCTCCGCCTCTTTCTGAACTTTAGATTTCAGCTTCGCAAAAATCTTCGCGGGAGACTGAAAGCAGGGATCTTTGCGTTGCAATACATGACACGACGCCATAATCCTGTGGGATTAATCTATTAGATTATTGAACAAAATCAGATATATTGACTTACAGTTAGCCCGCTGTCCGCAATTTTCAAAAAACATTAGCCCCACCCCCTTTGACAAAGTTCCGGTGACGCATTGTAATGCTGCATTCCTGTTCTACTCGGAACTGGGAAATTCCGATTTTTCGAGATGGAAAAATCAATTGTAGCCCCATTTGGGAAACTGGGAGCGATTCGTGCAACCAGTTACGACTTATAAGACCGATTTCACGCTTTAGTAGCATCAACCGTAGTCCATCCAAGTGGTCTATCCAAGCCCACGGCTTAAAAGCCGAGGATCGGATGGACGCAGCAGCCAGAGATTCTGTCTATTTTACAAGGCACACATGTAAAAGTCCATCTAAAACCAATGTTACAGGTAGCGCCTCCAACTCTAAACTCAACAAAACTAAAATTGGTGTTTACCCATGAAAGTAACGCTTAAGAATACGTTTGTAAGAGGTACTGCAAAATGTGTAGCCATCTTAAAATTCCGACTTCTTCACAAATTCCGACGTAAGTTGAACCGAGCATTACAACAAAACGTCTCTACGCCATACTCATACTTTTTTTCTTAAATGAAAGACTATATAATTTAATTCAGATTTAATTTAGAAAAGATGTTTACAAGAAATGTGTTTTTAGTGTATTTAGTTCAAACATAATTATTCTGAATAAAGATAAAATGCAGTTGTTTGTTTATTCCTGCAGAGGGCAGTAAAACGCGCAGCCACATTTATTCGACAACACGAAGAAAAGCCTTTCATATCCGGGGTAAGGTTCCTGTTATCCTAGTCGTGAGTCGCTGAGAGTCATTCAGAGTTGGGGCGGATTTCAAGGAAAAGTATTTTTTTTAAAAGTTATTCCTGTCACCACTTGTGACGCGGATGTTTTTATTTGTCCTGAATAACTTTTTGTTTTAGGACAGAAAGTGTGCTTAGCTGTAGAAAGTGCTGAGCTGTGACCGAGTGATGCAACATGGCAGCAACTGGCAGGTTTCTGTCAGCTGTTATTAGGATCCACGGCCGTGGACTGGACACTGTGGGACAGAGGACACTATCTTGTCTTCCATCTGTGCTGATCGGAAAAGAACCAGAGACAAGCCCACGGTTTAAAAGCCGAGGATCGGATGGACGTAGCAGCCTGGACCACAGAGATCCAGCCTGGAAGGAAGGAGGCGGTCGGTCAGGCAGCTCTGCCCGGCTCAGGTCTCTTTCTGTGGGACTGGGGCTTTGCGGAGCGGCGCTACTGGACCGCTTAAAGGAGGATCAGGTGGATTCAGAGGGATCTCCAGGATCCAGCAGCTTTTTAAGACTTTTTCTGCCCTCTGCTCAGTGCGCCTCCCCGTTTAGACCCGACAGCCCCCGCTTCAGATACAACTTCATAGCTGATGTGGTGGAAAAATCCACTCCAGCTGTGGTGTACATCGAGATCGTGGGCAGGTGAGTGGGCCTGAATAATCCGATTTTAAGGGTCGCGATTCGATTTAGATACGATTTTTGATTCAGAAACCAATTCTTCCTATTCAACTGCCCAGAGATTCTAATTAAATTATGTGACTGACAAGAGGAAAAGACACAATATATTCAAACATATATTTACAGAGGTGGGCAGAGTACCCAAAAACTGTACTCAAGTAAGAGTAGGACTACTTCAACATATTTTACTCAATTAAAAGTAAAAAGTAGCCATCCAAGAAATTACTCAAGTAAGAGTAAAAGGTAAAAAGTCGACCAAGACTTTTTACCAAATACTTTGGTAAAAGTAAAAAACTTTGGTAGACTTTTTACCAATACTTTGGCAAAAGTATTGGGACTGAGTAACTGATAAAATTATTAATCATCTAATATCTAAAAATTACATAATAAATTGGAACAAAATGTGAATTTAAGTCTAGGTTTTTGTATTTTAAAAGACCAGAATGACAATAATTCATATAAGTGAGAAAAAAATAACAAAATCAGGCAAAACAAAATGTTTCCAAATCATTTTCTTTCAATATGAGCTGAAAGCAGCTTCTGTGTTTTGATTTGTTTATTTCAGACATCCGTTTTCAGGAAGAGAAGTCCCGGTGTCGAACGGCTCGGGTTTCATCATCAGCAGTGACGGTCTGATCGTCACCAACGCTCACGTCGTGGCCAACAAGAGAGGCGTCAGAGTGAAGCTAACCAACGGCGACACGTACAACGCCACGGTGCAGGATGTCGATCCCAGCGCAGACATCGCCACCATTAAAATCACTTCAACTGTAAGGAAGGAGTGAAAATATGTGCAGTGCAGCGCTAACAACAAAGTCATTTAGCTTTGATTTTTCTCTTGCAAACTTACATTAATGATTATTTAATAATGATTAATCAGATTTTTTTTTAAATAATCAAACCACTGAAGTCTTCTGTTTACACGGTATTTAGGAAATACATTAAAAGATGCAAATAATTCGATTTAATTTAATTGAATTCTCCTTTGGGATCAATAAAGTATTTTTGAATTACTTTTTATAAATCAAAAACTATAAATTCATTAAATAGCGTTCATTTGTAGCAGGATAGCGAAAATATATTTTTTTACAGTCTGTATACTTTAGTTAATGATTGATTACTAATTTACTTTACAACTATTTCAATAATTGATTAATCACGATTAATTTGATTTAATCATTTCAGTTCCAAAGAAAATAATATTGAACACTTAAATTTAACTCTGTTATCTCAACATGGTATTTTGTATATTTGTAAGTTTTAAACACAGGAGTGGGTCAGGATAAGATTATTGCCAGATTAATCTGGTAATATCAGATTAGCAGATTGTTATATGATAATCTGGATTAGAAATTAAAATTCTTATTATATACTTATTACATTTTTATTTATTGGCAGCAATAAGCCATATGATAATCACTAATCCTGAATAAGAATCCTGGTCATGTCACTAACAGATAATTAAAGTGTAATATTTATCTAATCAGAGATTATCAACAAAATATTGGAGTTCTTTTACTTTCTAAAGAGAAATAATTAAACTCAGTGGTAGAGAAACGTTACTAAAGCTTTTCTTCGCCTCTTTTGTGTATTTTTTTCCACTCTTGTGAGCAGAAACCTTTCCCCACGCTCAAACTGGGTCAGTCATCGGAGGTTCGTCAAGGAGAGTTCGTGGTTGCCATGGGGAGTCCGTTTGCTCTCCGGAACACGATCACGTCGGGGATCGTCAGCTCGGCGCAGAGAGGAAGCAAGGAGCTGGGCCTGTCCAACTCCAACATAGATTACATACAGACGGACGCAACCATCGACGTGAGTGGTTTCAGTATTTATGCTCTTCATTTAGATGTTTGATCAGCCATTTCACTGCAGCGCCGCATCAGGGCCCTAGATAGAAAAAATAAGAAAAGGGAGGGTAAATTTCCACCAAAAAACTGACATTTTGTAGGAAAATCTCAGAAATCTTGAGATTAATCTTAGAATTTTTCTGGAAGAAACAAGAATTATGAGCTTGAAAAGTTCTAGAAAAAATTTAGACATTCTAAGATTAAATGTAGAAATTTTCTTTAAAAAAAAACAAAAAAAAACAAGGACATTTCTGAGCTAGAAAAGCTGAAAATTTTATTAAAAAATATTGAAATTTTTTCTCAAAAAAATTAAGAAATTCTGAGATTAATCTTACAGATTTTCTAGAAAAGACAAGGAAATTTCTGAGTTGGAAAAGTAAAAAATTTTCTAGAAAAAACATGACATTTTTAGAATAATCAAAGAAATTTTCTTGGAAAAAAACAAGAAAATTTCTGAGATTAAAAAGTTGAAAATTCACTAAAAAAAACTACATTTTGAGATTAATCTCAGAAAATTTCTAGAAAAACAAGAGAATTTAGTTTCAAAAAGAAAAAAAATTCTGGATTCCCCCCCCCCAATTTTCTGAGATGTATTTCTAAAAAATAAATCTGACATAAAAAACGTCCTTCTTTGATGTAGACATTTTCTGAAGTAAATTTCAAAGCAGTTTTTTTCTAGCATATTTTCCATTTTTTTAAAAAAAAATTTTTTCTAATTACCTTGCCCTAGTACACCGTCGTATTTCACTGCTTCACCATTTTGTTCCTTTGATGTTGTTGAACTCGTAGGAAATGGCAGCCTTTTCTATGTTTGTACCAGCTTTAATAAGCAGAAGTTTAAAACTGTTTTGTATTATTCATCTTCCACATGTTAATAGTTTCTGATTTGATTTGGGGTTTTTCTGTTCGGTGGATTCTTCTTGTCACATCTGACCCTTTCTTTTGTTTGTGTTTATTTTAGTTTGGAAATTCTGGAGGTCCTCTGATTAATCTGGTGAGTCACAGTTTCTGTTTAAGTATTTGTCACACTCAGCTGGTTATGAGGAAATCACATCTAATCTCCATTAACATCCACCCATCTGTGCAACGGAACAACAAAATACTAAGAGATAAATAATAAATATGTGCAGTTTTATGAAGTCAGTAGAGAATCTCCAGCAGGTTTCAGCTTCTATTTATTTGGACTTTTAATTCAGGTCAACTCTACAACAAAATATAAGGGTCAGACTAAGATTTTCTAATCTTTGTGCATTTTCGTCAGGATGGGGAAGTAATCGGCATAAACACCATGAAGGTCACTGCCGGAATCTCATTCGCCATCCCGTCTGATCGGGTGAAACTTTTTCTGAGTCAAGCAGCAAAAAGAAAAAGTAAGAATACGATACTAAAACAATGTTTCTGTAAAATCAGTACAACAACATCCAGCTGTTTACTGACTCCCTTCCTCGTATTTCAGCCTCTAACGTTGGCGACTTGAGTGTGAAACCTCGGTACATCGGTGTCATGATGCTAACGCTAACACCAAGGTAAAAGCATCATTAACATCCTGCAGTGATGGAGACCTAAACTTGTCTAAAGCTTATTTTCTGTTTCCAGAATTATAGCGGAGCTGAAGATGAGAGACTCGTCTTTTCCTAACGTCAACCATGGCATTCTGATCCACAAAGTCATCCCCAGCTCACCAGCCAGCAGGTAAACCTCCTCTCTGACTGGGGTTGAATATCATCGCATAAGATTGCTATATTAAGGCTGTATATTTTACAGCAGTGTGTCCTTTAAGTCTTAAATTTGTGTATCTAAAATTAAGGCCTTAAAACATAAGTTGACCT